CCCTGCCAGGTCATGCAGCATCCCAAAGGTCAGCTCTGGGAGGGGCAAGACATGATTATGCCCTGCGAGAAGGGCTGGGATTTGGGGTGTCACCAGCACAGTTGGGGTGGGCTCCCCCAGCCTGCAGAGTCCCACAGAGAAACTGTCAAGGGTGGGGGTGGCACGTGTGGCAGTTCGAAAGCCACTTTTCATGTCTGCCTGGTGTTGAGAAGAGAGACTGTGGCTTTTTCATATCTCTCCCGTGAACTCTTAAAATTAATTCCACCGGCAAGATTCCCACGCCCCAAGTGTGGGTTTGGGGAGAAACATGAAGACTTTGAAGTCGAGAAACTACAGAAAGCATTCTCTAGACAGATGCTTGCCGTGCAGAAGTCAGAATCTGTGAGGAGAAAGGTAAAAAGACATGTGGGAAATGATTTTAGGGAGTTTAAAAAAAAAAGAAAAGAAAAAAGAACAGGGAGCAGAGCCGGCTACTGCAGCTTAGGAAAATAAATAAAATAATCAAAGGGCGGGTTAACACTGTGGAAGGAATTTTTTCATTTGAGAGAGATTACCAATAATGAAATGCAAACACAATAGTTACTATGTTTGTTTGCTAGTTTATGTTTCCTTCCAGAAAATGAAAAACGTTTTTTAAGAAGAGAGGCTTGGGGGGTTACCCTACTGGATGCTGGCTGATTGATGTGAGCCACAAGCCACCTTTATTCCAGGGCCACCAACTCATGCCTCTGTGAGCTCTTTGCCAAGGAACTTAATGGTGCTGACATTTCTAAGGAGAGTTCCTTGGGCTGTAGCAAACTCTTAAGAATAAAAATGCCCCCAAATAAGTCTGTCACACAGGAGGTAAACGAGACCTTCCATGAAATCAGCATGTCTTTTGCAGTGTGCCCTTTATACAAAAGGCCCAGCCAGAGGGCCTGGTGGGTCTCTGGGGGTGGTCCCAGAGTATAGTGAGAGTCTGGCCTGAAAAGAAGGAATTTGAGTCTCCAAGTGGGAGCACTGGGTCACTTTTGCCCTGGAGCAAATGGGCTAAAGACTTCCTAGTTTTCTAAGAAGTTCAAAGAGCTGAATATTTGCTTCACAAAAGGATTCACCAGAGGGGTCCTTTAAATGATAAGACCAGAGAGAAAATGTTGTAGGTGAGCCTTTTTTAAAGAACACATTCCTGGGATGGAAAGTAAGAGAGCTAAGGTGCTTGCCTTGCACATAGTCAACCCTGTCCCAGTCCCTGGTACTGCCTATGATCCCCCAGCACCAGCAAGAGTGATCTCTGAGCCAGGAGTAAGCCTTGAGTAATGCTGGGTGTGTAATGCCCTGTTGTGCCCCCCACCCCCCCACCAATAAATCTCTTCACTAGCTGCTTATATAGCTATATAAGGCAGTTATTTCCAGCAAAGAATATTTTTCTAGCTGGTTGAATTACAAATCATGGATTTGGAGTGCTGGATCCAGAGAGAAAATCAAGGTAAGTGTAGAAATATGGAAAATCAAGGCAAGGGTAGAGCTATGGCATTTTGGGGCATCTCCTTCACACTGCTTCTTCTAAGGCTGAAAAAACTCCATTGGGGACCACCTAAACCCCTCCCATTTTGCAGGAGCAAGCACCGATGGCCCTTTGTCCTTCCCAGATAAATTACCAACATAAGGCTGGAGCTATCTCTTGATCTTTGGAGAAAAAAACCTATTTTAAGGGCCAGGGAAATGGTTCAAAGTGCTGGAGGGCATGCTTTGATGCTGGAGCCCCAGGTTCAACCCCCCCAGTGCCCACAGGGGCACTGCTGAGCACTGAGGGGTGGAGCCCAAAAGGAAACAAACAAAAAAACATTTTAAGTATTTATGGATTGTGGGCTTTGTGCCTGGCATAGTCAACAGGCTGTGTCCTGGTCCTCCTGAGATTTGGTGAGATGGTTGATAATGATGGCAAGGGCACTGGCTTTTTTCATCAACTTAAATGTGGAGAGCTGTGTTCTTTTTTCAGCTCTTCCACTTTTTATATTTTGGCCACTTAAAATATGTAGACTTGCTACAACCAATTCAGACCCTAGGAGGGAACAAAAACAGCAAAACTTATTAATTAGCTTATTCCCATATAGCACCCCTGCTAATATTTTGGTACATAGGCTTTCAGAGGTTCTTTTGTTTGTATATGCAAGAGAATAATATACATATATATACATATATACACATATATATAAGCACATACATATTATAAAAGACACTTTCAAAAAAATACACTTTTTTAAAAACCTAACCTCCCCTTCCCAAATCTAGAACTACCATTGATTGTAGTAGCAGAGTATTTCATTTTATAAATATACAAAGATTGCTTGCTAGCACTCCATTATTGGACATCATGCTATTTATAAACAAAGCATCTTTTCACATTGTGTGTGCTTTTTTATGTACACACATACAAAGATGCATGTATATCTTGGCACAATTGTCTGATTATTTTCTTAGCCAGTCGTGGGACTGCTGGATTAAAGGGTATGTACATATTAACTTTGGTCCCGTTTTGCCAAGATGCCTCCCTATGTATTTGAACAGCTGTCCATCCTACAGATCTGCACGTTGTCTTATTGTTTTCTTGGGCAAGTTGCATCTCCTCCCTGGCTATGCCTCTTCCCCTCTGAAATGGGTGTGAGGAGACAGCAGGGGTAGCAGACATTGCTGTGGATGCACTAGTAGACATTTTGGATAAATGGTGATCGTCATCCCCTCTCATAGTCACCCTTTCAGGTCTCTGTGACCCCCATTTTCCCTCTATTTTCTTACCGACCTCTTCTGAGTATAGGAAGGATCCCTTGCCTAAGCACACCCGCTGAGCTGGAATCCAGACCCAATAGTGTCTACGTGATTGGGGCTTGGGGAGGAGGTTTCCTCAGCCCAGGGGTTGGCATCCTCCATGCCAGATGAGCAGGGACTTGCATCCTGCTTGATGGGGTCTTGGGTAGGACTTCCGGGCTTCTATGCCCTCCTGTGGGGTAACCCTGTTACTTAAGAGTGTTAGGACCCACTTAGCCAGAGAACTGCCATAACAGGCTCTGAATAGCTTAGGCCTCTCCCAGGAACAAGAATAGCAGAAAAAACAGATGCTGTTGTCAAAAATTATGCCCCCCCCCCCCCCCCCCCGACTAAGATTAGGTCCCTGTAATGTAACTGTTAGGGGGTGGGCTGGATGTTGCGGGCCAAAACAACAACAACAAACAGTATGTATATACTATAGGTAATAGAAATCTGCTGAGTAATGCTTACTTGACAAAACAAAAGTATAAGAACTTGCTGAACCTAGTGCTGGGGGGTCCTTGTTGAAACCTGCTGAGCTGGGTGGATACTTGGACCCTAGCTAGCTGGAACAACAAACCTCACTATGTGACTTGCATTATCGGCTCTGTTCTCTGTCCTTGAGGGGTGATCAGCTCCAGACTCTAACATTTGGAGGTCTGGTCGACTCCGGACTCTAACAAGAGTAGCTGTTAGGCAGTGATTGCTTCAGCATAGAAACCAGGAGGGAATTTCCAGAAGGTTGGGGAAATCTAAGACTTTTCGCTTTGGTTTTTTAAGTGTGAAAGTTCTATTTCTACATCAACTAACATATTACACTGAAACCACAGACCTGAGCAGCCTGCTTCGTGGCTCCACCTTCCCCCCTCCTTACGCCAGACTCTAGGCCTCCCTCTCCAGACCTCCTGAGGGCAGGCACTGCCTTCTCCAAACTTCTGCCATGTTTTGCACTGCAGGATGTCAGCCTCCTGGGTGCTGAGAGTGAACCCATCCAGGCCCGCTCCTTCTGCTTCTTTCCCAGGCCTGCGGCAGTTGGTGGGAGACCGCGGGTACACAGCAGGCAGCCTTTCAGGCCCTTCTCCTTGCCTGAAAGAGATGTCTTAGAGGTTGTTTGAACAGGTTGACGCAAAGTAGGTACATGGGCCTGAAGGGATTTCAGTTAATAACGGTTCAGTGAGGGGAGCTGATGTGGGGGAAGATTCTCACCTCAAGACCTGCCTAAGATAGTTAAACTTGGAGCCCAGAAAGCACACACAGGACCCAGTGAAGAGCACAGAGCACATTTATTGCAAGGCTGGAAATGTGTATCTGTAGAGAGAAGCACCATCCCAGGTCCATCCCTGGTCTAGGGGGTCTTTGAGGTGTCTCCAAACCCCCACCCCAGGCTATTTCTGTTGTCTGAAAAGAGCTCAGGCCTCAGACTGGGGAGGGCAGTGGCTCAGTTTCTTTCTGAGGCTAATAGTTCTGCACTTCAAGGCTTCATCCCTGGGAATTCACCCCTGTGTTGGGAAAGGTTTTTATTGCCTTATCTAAGACAATGCTGATTTCTTTAAAAAAAAAAAAAAACTTGTTGTTGACTAGACCCTGCTGATCTAAACTCTACTGAGTCATTGCAGAGAGGGCTTTGGACAAAGGCAAGCATCACTCACGAAGATAAGAGGAAATCACTCAGGAAATCACTCAAATTGGAAAGGGGTTGGGGGAAGGAAAATAAATAACCCTGGATCAACTCCTCTTTGCCTGGTTTAGTACTTTTTCCTTTCTTTCTTTAAAAAAAAAAATCCATCTGCAATCCAACCATCCCATCTGGGCTAGATATTTTTGCCTTAATGCCTTAAGGGGTTAAGTAACTGGCACTGAGCTTTGGAAGAAAGGACTCGATGTGGCCAATGAAAAAACAGTGGTGCTCTGGAAGGAAGGCAAAAACTGCGAGACAGTTGATAAAATGATGCTATTGCTCCTACGTGTACAAGAGAAGAGCAAGAAGGCTTTGAAATCCACATAAACCAGCTCGCTCTCTGGGGTTTTATTAAAGCAATGCTAAGTTCCCATATCTATGTGTGCAGGGTCTACATGCAGATCTTGGTGCCCTAACTGATCGATCTCAGTGTCTAGAAATGCAGGGAGAGCATGTGAGCTGGAGCAAAACCAAGTCCTTGACCTGGTCTTGACTTGATCTTTACTCCTCTGTGTCTTTTTGTGCCACCCTCACCTAGATACGACTTCATTGAGATCCGGGATGGGGACAGTGAGTCCGCAGATCTACTGGGAAAGCACTGTGGGAACATCGCTCCGGCCACCATCATCTCCTCGGGCTCTGTGCTCTACATCAAGTTCACATCTGACTACGCCCGGCAGGGGGCCGGTTTCTCCCTGCGCTATGAGATCTTCAAGACAGGTCAGTGTGGTGGTGATGTTGCAGGTGGAAGCTGTCTGTGTCTGACCCTGGCGCAGGCTACTGTGGCACACTGTGTGCTCACAGATAGAGCGCTGGGGCAGGAGTAAGAGTGATGGTTTGATCCAGTGGAGCCAGGTGATGGGTTGAGAGCTCGGACCCTGCTGTGGCAACTCATTCAGTTGTTGTCAATGAGAGGGGATTTTCAGGGTTAGCTCCAGTGCAGGCAGGCCCCATACATCCCACCCCAAGAGAAGGGCCTTGTGATCAATGGGGGGGGGGGAGGGGGGGAACCTCTAGGAGTGAAATTCAATTCGTGTGTGTGTGTGTTTGTGTTTGTGTGTGTGTTTTAAAGACCACAGTGATCTTTGTAAAAATAAACAAAACTTGGTTTAACTTCCACCGAATTGCTTCATGGTTTTGTATTTTGTTTCAGTGTATGGAGCCTCTAAAAAACTTACTATACCCTGACCTTGTCCCAAGTCCAAGCGGATTCATGCAATAGCTTGCCTTTTTTTTTTTTTTAAATGCCTGACAGGACCTCGCAACCAGTGCCCAGGGTACCCGATGTCCACTTCTGTTGATGCTCAGTCACTTTGAACAGGTGGTTCTCAGTGCTCAGACCCAGTGAGACAGTGCTGCTCAGGTCCCCGTGGCTACACGCATTGGTCCTGAGAAGCTACCAGGGCCACACCCATCGTTACTTAGGGAGATATGTCCTGTCAGAGATCCTGGCCCTTGCATATAAAACACATGCATCCCTGAGCAAGCCCTTGCCACTGGTGGAGGGAGTCTGCTGAAAGGAGCGACTGTCAGCCTTGTCATCAAGAGGCCCAAGTTCAGCGTCTTTTGAGCTTTTCTCTCCAGCCTCTCACACAGCAGCTTTTAAATTCCAAGTGCTTCCTGGAAATTTTCCCTGTCAATCCATACTATCACTTCTAGCCATTGCAGCCTCACTTCCTAAATGCTGGTGTATTTGGCCTTTTACAAAGCAATAAAAAGATCACTGAGAAAGACAGGGAAGGCTGCACTTCCTAACTCAGCTACATACTTTGCACTTGGACCGCCTGTGACCCTGGCTCCAGGCCTGACATGCAGGGCCTGTCTTCTGGCTGTAACCAGGCAGGCATGTAGCTCTCAGCACATGGAGCACCATACCCTTCCTCCCCCACACACCCAGCCTCTTCCCCTGCCTCAGAGGCTCCCAGCCCCTCTGCGGCCCTGTCCCCTTCTGCAGCAGCTGAAGTTGCCACTGGCGGAGGGAGTGTGGTGAAAGGGGTGGCTGACAGCCTTGTCATCAAGAGGCACAAGTCCGGCGCCTTTTGAGTTCAGTGTGAGGGAAACTATTCACATATATTTTCCTTTTCACTAAGCGGTGCTTGAAAAGAAGTGGTAGCTGCTGAAAGCACTTTTTTTTATATCTACTCTGTCTAAATATTTGCCGGATTTGTCTGCCTGTTCACAGGAACATAGAACACAATGAAGGGCTGGGACCGAAGGACTGTTAAGCCAGCTCAGGAGCCTGGACTGTCACTAGGCACAAGTCCCAGGAGGTCTGCCTGGCTCCCTTATCCTGCCCTCACTCCATGAGGTCACAGGGACTGACCATCTGCATGTCCAGCGGCTCAAGGATGGCTTAAGGCTCATGAAGAGCTGGATCTATAGTCCCTTGAGTCCTGGACAAGATGATACCATTTGCTGCTGAGATACGATGGGGAGAAAAGAAAGGAATAAACTAGGGTGTTTCCCCACGTAGGCTGGGAGACAGAGGTGCAAATTCTCAGCACAGAGCACAGGCCCAGTAGATGTTGTTGCATGAAGTATGCAAACAGAGAGGAACACTAGTCTGAAGTGGCTTGAGTAAGTGCTAAAGAAAGGTACCCCTGTCATGCCTTGGCAGCGGGGATGCTAGGGAACCTGTTAGAGAGCACAGTTCCAGGTTTTTTTGTTTTGTTTAATTTTATTGAATCACCATGAGATAGTTACAAGCTTTCATGTTTGGGTTACAATCACACAATGATCAAATACCCATCCCTCCACCAGTGCATATTTCCCACCACCAATGTCCCCGGTATACCACCGCCCCCTTTCCGACCCGCTCCCTGCCTCCATGGCAGACATGCTTCCCCATAATCTCTCTCTATTTTGGGCATATGGTTTTCAATACAGACCCTGAAGAGGTCATCATGTTTGGTCCTTTAATCTACTTTCTGCACAGTTCTGCACAGTTCCAGGTTCTAATGCTGTCATTTGTCCCCACCCCCACCCCCCTGTAGAGGGGAGAGGAGAACAGTGAGCCCAGCAAGGAGCTGCTGCAAGAAAGTCAGAAAGGGGCGGGGGAGGGGGAGGGAGGGGGCGGTGAGGATCATTCAATTTAGTATCTCACAAAGGATGTGATATTAAGAAAGTCTGCAGGAAGTCACAGGAGAAACTGAACTCCATCATGCAAGTGAGAGGGGTTGATAGTGAATGATAAAACCCACCAGACAGTGCCACACACAGGGGCAGGGGAAATGAGGCAGGGGCCAGATCATAAGGCTTGTGAAGGTGGAATGTCTTAAGGACAGGCCAGATAACTTGGACCACCAGAAGATAATCTGTTCTCTTCTGCTCTCCCCACCCCTGTGGTCTCTTTTCGTTTCCTTTAAGTCCAAGGAAAAATGTCCACCCAGCTCCTAGTTTTAAAAGGTATTGTAGGAAAAGGGTTTCTGCCCTTCTCTGGAATCCTTCTCTGGAGACATACTATGGGAGCTTTCCTACCCATTCACTTCCCTTCCATCCTTTAAAATCTTTTCTGATTTTGGCCATTAAGTGGTATCTCCTGCTTCCAGTTCTGGCTGGCTTGAAGACAGAGCATATTGTAACGTAATGAGTCAGCATTGCTGTTTTGAGATGAGACCGGAGTAGTGTGAACAAGGTGGCAGGCGTGTCGACTGCCTGGGAACACTAGTACCTGTCAAGGAGGCAGCTTGGGCCTGAGCAGTGGGGCAACCCACTCTGAGAGCTGGCATTGCTCATGGGGGCAAGGACGAGTTTACTGCAGCGGGCGAAGGCCCCGCCAACAAGAGCCACATGACAAAGGAGAGCTCTGGGGACTTCTCGGAGGTCAGCCACACCTGTCATAGGCCCCTCAAAAGAGTAACTCTAGGGGTGATACAGAAAACACACATATGTGTGGGTGCAACATTCACGACTGAGAAAGTGGGGGGTGTAGAGCATTCTTGTAGGTGCCATGTCCTGCTGCACCCACATTTTCATTTTCAGAGTCAGGGGTGTGTGTGTGTGGGGGGGGAGAAATATATAAAGTTTGCGTCATCCACAGAACATGAAAAAAATGTGTGAACATGCTGAAGAAATCCAAACAAACACAGCTATGTTTGCTAGGGAGATTCATGAAAAGGAAGAAGGGGGAACAGTAAACATAGACCCACAAATGCTGCCCAGAGGCTTCTGGAAGCCTTTGAGAGCCTGTTGCCCTGGCAGGGCTCTGCGCAGAATTCTACCCACAGACATCAGCCCTTAATTGGGGTACAGACAGGGGGATGTGGCTGGAGGGCTCGTGTCTGCCCTGAATGAAGTGGTTTATAAAAGAATCTATGTCTTACCAGACCATCCACGTATAAAAGGGGAAACCAAAACAACTTGGAAACTTAAAAGATCTCCTATCACCAAATCTGGAGCAGCTCAGAGACAGGAATTTTAAAATAACTTAAAAGTAACATTAGAAGTAAAACACTGGGGGGAAATGTGTTGGGGGTTTCTGTGTTTTTGTTTGATGCTTGTTTGACCAACCTTCAAGATCAAATATGCCTTTCCTGTTGTCTGGTGACATTTTGGAGACTGAAATCTCTTGGGTGATTCGCAGACAGGGAAAATCTGATGAACCCCTTACTCCCAATTCCCTGACTTGAAGGACTGAATTCACCTTCTGAGGTCCCGCCAAGCCCAGCTCTGGATAAATCCATCATGTTTTAAGGAGCTTTATGCCTACAGATTCTTCTTCCGCTTGTAGAGTTATTATAACATTCACAGTGGAAAAATACAGAGTGGGCATTTTTCATACCAGAGGCCTTTGGTATGAGATCACTCACTACAGCAAAAAAATCACTAGTTTCTCTGGTCAATCTTAGCACTGAGTGAACTTGAGTATTTGTTGATTGAGCTATATTTTTGAACTTTTAATCTTTTCAGTCCCTTGCCAAGGGATCTTAAATTAGGTAGCTATCAGTAAAACTCAACTTGCATCCCAAGACTGGTAGCCCTTTTCTGAGACCTCTTCATTTGATATGCAGCTGCTTGGGTTTTTTTTTTTTTTTTTGTATTCTGACCAGAGTCCAAGAGATGGTCGGATGACAAGCAGGTGTATGATTAGAATAGACAGGTTTTCTGTTTCACATAGGATAAGCCATTTTTCTACCTCATTCAAAGTATGAGGACATACCCATTCATACTCACGTGTCCAAGTACCTACTTTCAGTGTGCGTGTGTGTGTGGTGGTGCTAGCAAGGGAAGGGGCTTGTGTTTGCAAAGTGAAAATTTCCCTTTCATGCAATGCAGGGCTTCAGGATTCTGGAAATTACCGGTTCTTTAGAGTCCCATTCTCCAAGCACCCACCCCCCATGCACAGAACCACCAAAGACAGACATGACGTCCTTAAAGCCTCGTAGGGAGCAGGGATTCCCCTTGCCTGAAAGGGAAATGACAGTAAAGCAAGCCCTAAAAAAGGAAAGTATGAAGGCCTTGCAGACCCTGAGTACAAATGGTGAATAGAATCAATTTCCTCCTGCCTGTGGCTCCTAAGAATGGGGTTTCAGTGCAGCCAGAAGCTTTAACCTTTGCAGATTTCCTCTCTGCCTGCTGTCTGGGCTTTGCCAAACTGCTTCCATCTTCCACCAAGGAGAAGCCCTCAGGAATTGAAGGCCTGGTGGCAAACAAAGTGGGAGACCCCACCACCACCACCCAAGCTCATCCCTTGCCCTTGATTGGCGAGTGTGTGCCCCTCCCACCCCCCTCGAGGGTCCCGTGGAGGAGAGCAATCACAAAATTCCCGGGAAAGGCTCTCTCTGCACCAGGTGTGTGGGCTTCTCCTCTGCTCAGTGCAGCCCTGGGAAGAAGGATGGAGGTGATGAATGCGTGGATCAGGATATTGGAATTTCCTGTCTGATGCTAAACAGAGTTGCAGCCCAGCCCCGCCTGCCTCCCCCGCTTATTTGCATGGCACTTTTTCCAAGTCAGACATTCGCCCGCTGCTTTCCAGAAAGCCGCCTGCCATAAAGAGACTCGCAGAGGGGACTGCTTCTGCAGCCGCTGGATAGAGACATCGCTGCGGGCCAAGATGAGTGCATTGACATCACGTAGTTTTATTTCAGTGCGATCCCCAGAGGACACTTCCTGCCAGTAAACACCTGGTTTATCACCTATTTCTGAGCGTTTTTCCCCCCCTTCCCGCGTAGAGTGTCTATTATCCCACACAAAGCCGGCTACCTCTCTCTGATTGTTGAAAGCAGGCAAAGCGTCGTGGTGGAATCAGTTCTCATTGTCCTGCCGGGATGCATTCGCTGTGGAGGGTCGGGAGAAGTGTGTGGCTACTGGGTTGTGTGCGCCCTGGAGCGCGGAGACCCGAGCGCTAGTCTGCACACTGCTGGGCCTGGGGGGTGCACTCGCCTAGGACGCCCCCTGGAGGCCGCCGGGAGAAAGAATGTGGCTGGGACTCTCTGGAGCATCCTTGCCTCCCCAGCCTCCACCACGCGAGGGGTGGGCGGCATGGAACTAAGAACGCCTCCGTGGGTCCCAGGAAGGCAGCCCAGAGCTTCGGAGGGAAGCAAGCCATCCCCACCACAAAAGAACCAGAAGGCTTCCAAATGTCAATCCGCTGCCGCATTTTTCCAGACTTGCCGTTCCAGCGGCCCTTTTCACATCCCCCAAGCGCCCCGCTGTGATCCACCCGCTACAAATGCCGATTGTTAATTGTCTGGCTACTACAGAGCAGCTCGTTTTAATATAGTCATGACATGAATGAGACCCCAGCTCCCCTTTGCCCCTCCCCTGAGGCACCTTGGATCTTGGAGGGAGAAGGGGGCACCGAGTTGGCTCTGGTACAATAGGGGCTAGTGTTGAGGTCAGCAATAAATAAGGAGTAACATTGTTTTCCCTGCTGGCAATCAGCAAGCCTTCCTTAAGGATTGAAATAACTTACATTTCTGGAGCAAGCAGCTGAGTAATTGAGAAAGAAGACTCTGTTCCTCTCTCCAAGACTCTCTCTCTCTCTCTCTCTCTCGCTCGCTCTCTCGCTCACTCTCTTTCTCTCCAAAAGACTGTTTCTCCCCTCTACCCCCCATCTTACACACAAACTTCTTTCTAATCCCCCCCTGCACCCCCCACTTTCTCAATTCTTCCCTTAACAGGTAGTGTCAGCCAACTCCTCTCTGAAATTTCTGGCCTAAAGTAGGGGTGGAAATGTGGCTGTGAGCAGTTGCTCAGGGGCCACTCCAGTGGAAACACCCACCCCTCACCCTCCGCCTGGGGTTTGTGGGGAATCTGGGACCAAACATTTAAATAACCCATGTGACAGGGGTGACAAAGAAAGCCATTGCCCTCCAAACTTGGTTAATGCTCTGGTTCTTCTTCTTCTTTATTATTTTTTTAATGTACAGGCTCTGAAGATTGCTCCAAAAACTTCACAAGTCCCAATGGGACCATTGAGTCCCCCGGGTTTCCTGAAAAGTACCCACACAACTTGGACTGCACTTTTACTATCCTAGCCAAACCCAAGATGGAGATCATTCTGCAGTTTTTGACCTTTGACCTAGAGTATGACCCCTTGCAGATGGGAGAGGGAGACTGCAAGTATGATTGGCTGGACATCTGGGATGGAATCCCGCACGGTGAGTAATTTCACTGTCAGGAAGTGCTTCTCTCTTCAGCTTCACTTGTGCCTATTCATTGCTTCAGTTAAAATAAAAAAGGAGCAAAGATTTCCAGGCCCCATTGGGTTCCCTCAGGACCACTGAGTGCTGTCTCTTTTATCCTTCACCAGTGATGATTTCTAAATTGCAGGAAGGTACTTTCCTTCCTTGCAGATGTTTCTGGGAGGGAAGATACTGAATATGAGTAGATACTTAGTTGAAGGTGAGGAAACTTTTAGTTATGCTTCAAGCTGTCAACCTTTCCACCAGCAGTGACTTGGTGACTACCTGCTATGCTGAAATAGAATCTTAGTGCCAGCTGGACTAACTTTGATTCCTGGCATTGCTTATAACATTTCAGTGGCCTAGTGCGAGCTACTTAGCCAATCAGTAGTTTATATATAGAAATGGGCTGCTGTCTCCTGATCACTATTACCCTTGTGATTCTTAAAAATTAATATAGTCTTAGATATCAAAACAGCATATCACCCAAGGCAGAAAAGAAAGCCAACTCTCAGGCAAAGAGCAACATAGACCTTAGACAAAATCTGTCTCAAAAAGGAAATCAATCTTCCACTTTCATAGTCATTTGAAGAATTTTCCACTACAAGGGAGATTTGATGGCTAAGCAATTTTGTTTCCCAAGAAAAGCATAAGATTTAGACCAGAAACTTGGGTTTAAGTCCCAGCGCTGCTATTTCAAGGGAAAGTCATGTGACCTCTTCAAACCTCAATTTCTTCTTCTGTAGAACAGGCCTTATAATGATAGCTTTCCAGCCCACCAGGGCTGTTGGAACAGAATGAGGCCAGGTCAGTGAAAGTACTTTTAAAGGTGCAGGAAAACTATTAGACATTGTTCTCAAACCATGTCTCTGGTTGTTACTTTACACCAAGGCATAAGAAGTGATGCTCCATTGAATGAATGCAATTGTGGAAAGGAAAACTATATTAGAAGTGGAGTTTGACATTTCTACTTCTGCTGCCCCCTCTTTGCCCTGCATGTCCAGTCGGCTCCCTGATCGGCAAGTACTGTGGAGCCCAGACCCCCTCTGAGCTGCGTTCGTCCACCGGGATCCTCTCTCTGACCTTCCACACAGACATGGCAGTGGCCAAGGACGGCTTCTCTGCACGCTACTACCTGGTGCACCAGGAGCCCCTGGAGAGTGAGTTGGCTGCTTGGAAACCTGTCCTGCCTTTCCACCAAGGCTCCTTCTTGGTTTCATTTTTCTTTTTTCATCAAAGACGCCCTGAAGATTGAGTGACCAAAAAAGCAGTATTACAAACGTACCAGGTTCTGTAAATGGTCAGCACAGCCATAGAGCAAATGAATAGATGTGATACCTGGAAAATATTGCTGTCCCTTATCAGACATAAGCACACAAGATACTGGCCAGTGTTGGGGGAAGGACGGCAATTAAGCTGACATTGTCGGTAATAAGTGACTTCTGGGTCTGTTTGCTCAAATGGACGGTGTCAGGTAAAATGGAGTGACATGCGTGTGTTTCTAGAGAAGTCTCCCAAAGATGCCTACTTATTGCTTTGTAATGTCTGTCTTCTGTGCCAGAACTCAAGAGAGAGTTGAGGGGGAAAAAAGGAAAGTGCCTCCTAGGTGTTTATTAATAAAGAAGACTTCCCAAGATAGATCAGCCCACCCAGATTGCTGCGATTCTACCACACATGTACTCAGAGTTCAGTACTGGTGCCTCTGGAGTCCTCCAGCTAGCAGTTCTTGTACTTTAGATTGTCTTTTTAATTTGTATGATGAGTTTTATTTATCCATCGCCTGATTTCTTTCAGGTCCAATTTAGTTTCCTTCAGACCCGGAGGGGTTGTCAGGCTCTACGACTTGACGTAGTTGTTTTTAAGAAACGGTTGTATAATTAGATCTTTCAGATGAAGGCATGCCTGCATGGACTTGTCTATATCAGGGAGCGGCATTTGGGGGGGGGATCCCAGGGGCTTGAGGTTGAGAGCCCTAACTGCCTTTTACTCTCCCCATTTCACAGGTTTTCAGTGCAATGCCCCTCTAGGAATGGAGTCTGGCCGGATTGCTAATGAGCAGATCAGTGCCTCGTCCACCTACCTGGATGGGAGGTGGACCCCTCAACAAGGCCGACTCCATGGTGATGACAATGGCTGGACCCCCAACTTGGACTCCAACAAAGAGTATCTCCAGGTACTAACTCAGATGAGATTGCCTGTGAGCATGGACATACTGATGGGGGAGAAGGTAGCTCCTGGGTTAGGTGGAGAAGGAACATAGAGGAAACAGCATTTCCTGAGCAAACAGGTACCGCGTATAGATGGGCTAGACCAAGTGATGAGAACCCTCGACACTGCCCCTGCCCTTGGGAAGATTACCAGGTCCTGGAGAAGCCATCAGGCTAGCTTGCAGCTTGCCTATCACTACAGTTTATGAAAGACCGTTCTATAAACCTTCATTACGCTTCACCCAGGAAGGCATCCCACATTGGAGGGCTGGCGTTGTTTTCCTCAGAGCAGCCTTGTTGAGTTGCTGGCTGAACACAACATCTTTTCCTGATCTTTGCAATCCGGCGGGAACCCTGCCAGGAAGGTTTTGCACATAGCTTGCAGAAGAGCACATGGGGAAATGTCACTACCGGGAGTAAAACTCTTATTGCCCAGATGCTCTGCAACATCTACTCAGGCTATTGTTTGCCCTGCCTCTGAGTAAGACTCACAGCAGGGTTGAGTGATCCTCCCTGGTACTCGTTCTCATCTCCAGGGATGAACAAGCTGGTAGCTTTGATGACACTTGGCAGACAACTTTACGACCCTCTGGCAAGCCTGTCCTTGTTTTGACATAGTGGTCTGTGTTCTGAGAAGGACTTCGCAGAGCAGACTACAGGAGTGGGAGAAAGAATGCTTAGAAATTCCCAGAGATTCCCCAAAGGTTCTGGCAACCCAAAGTTCATGTCAGTTTCTCCCTCTGCCTCTCCAGAAGTCCTCCTGAAAAGCTCCCAGAATGTTCTCCTTTATAATCGGCTTGCCAATGATGAGCCTCCTTAGTGTGGGTTCATAGTCCTGTACTTCTCCCCTCTTTTGGCTCTGCACCTGTTTCCTTTCCACATAGACAGCACTGCGTATTTCTTTTGAACACTTCATTATGCTGGGCACATAGTGGATAGCCTATAATGGCTTGCTGAATCCAATTTCACCAGTATGTGCTGTCAAAATTTCGATCACACAGGGATTGCCATTAAGAAACAAGGTGGCCAGCAAAGGAATGGCATCCAGCAATTTCCAAATGGGTTTGGTGTGATGGGAAGGGAGGGGCCCTCAAACTGTTGACCATCCTCCTTCGAGAGCAAAAGGTCAGCACTCCGTCCATAAGCCTAATTGCTTAGGCAGACTCTGCTTGCCCTTTGACCTCTCAATGACCTGAGCCACTAAATACACAATGGAGTGGGGCTAAGGGGAGGAGAGACTGCCTTAAACTGAGACTTTTGCAACTAGAGCATCTTAAGTGAAGTGAATTGAAGTGACTGGAGCAGAGGGAAAGTGGATTGGATTGGATTTACCTTTTGTTCCTTGAAAACATCATCTGTTTTCAGAGCAGGGAGAGATACTACAGAGGGTCAGGCCCTAAAAATAACAAAGCAAAACAAATATCTGTTTTCGTTTTCTAAGGCAGGCCATAGTTCAGTCAGAAGAGCTCCTAGCTGTCTTGATTCCTTTAAGGTGAACTTAACCCTGTTCAACATTTCAAAAAAGGAAAGAGAATAAAACAATAATTATCTGGTTACAATTTCAAAAGTGTCTAACTTAAGTGAAATCAAGGTGAGTTGAACTGTGCTGTGGAATTGCAAAGGGCTATGATCACCAATATGTCTAAATGGATCCCAGCCTGCCAGTCGTGGTGTAAATCAGACTGCTGAGTTTCTTCAATGAGCTAAAAACCAGCCACCTGGGCTAGGGCACTAGTACAGCAGGTAGGGCAGTTGGCCTTGGCATGCAGCTACCCAAGTTCGATTCGTGGCATCCCATATGGTCCCTGACTCCCTGCCAGGAGTGATCCCACAGTGCAAAGCCAGGAATCACCCCTGTGCACCGCTGGGTGTGTTAACAAAACAAAAAAGAGAATCAAAAACAAATAAAACCCAGCCACTCTTCAGACACGAGGCACCTGACTTCTTGGCCTTTTTTCCATAGGTGGACCTCCGCTTTCTCACATTGCTCACAGCCATTGCAACACAGGGAGCCATTTCCAGAGAAACCCAGAATGGCTACTTTGTCAAATCTTACAAGCTGGAAGTCAGCACCAACGGGGAAGACTGGATGGTGTACCGACATGGCAAAAACCACAGGGTAAACTCCTTTCTCCTTTTCAAAGGTGGGGGGTGGGGGCAGGGTAGGACCCAAGGCATTGGAGTTAACCCCAGTATTGGAGAGAAGGCCTTATTCAGGGAAGGAATGCTTCAATCACTTCCTGAGGCTGGAGATTCAGAATGTCATCTTGTCTTTCTTATGCTAAAGTGATGGGAAAACATCTTTTCTCCTTCAGAACTGTGGAGATGGTGAGGTGGGAGGGAAACAGGGATGGAGATGGAGAGAGCTGAGCTCAGTGCCGGCGTGCGTGCAGAGTGCTCCCTGACTACAAATGAAGGAGAAAATGCATTCCCAGCCACTGGTACCTCCCCATCCAGGATTCATTGAGCATTTATGACCCCAGTCCCCTCTCCATGCTGGGTAAACAATCACAAAACCCCAGGAAACTTGCAGTTCAGGAGTTCCCCAGGTCTGGAAATGAAAGGGGCACAAATCCCGAGAAGGAATCACAAGGCCCCAGAGAAGAAAGAGAACAATCAATAATGAGAAGAAGTTCTGTTTGTCAGGGATGGGGTTCCCACTGGCAGCCATGCTTGGCTGAGAGGCACTGAATGGTTGTTGCCATGCGTGCCCCGTGTGTGCTGCGCCTGGAGGGGTGTCCTTGTGGGTGATGTGGGGCTTGGGCTGTGATTGTGGATGACTGTCTGCCACTCCATGTTAAGACACATTGTGGTCTGGAAAGGGACAGGCTTGCCACTGGCATGGATTGGATGGTGCAGGCAGCCTATGGAGGGCTAGTGCTGGTGGGTTGCATCTTATTGCAAAGGCTGATGGTCTCACCTGGGCAGGGGAGATCTCTGGTGATTTTGGACTGGCTCTTAGCTCTGGATGCATTTGATGGCCTGGAGGCTGCTTCTCCATCAGTGGAAGGGATGGGGCTTGGAGGAAAAAAGATATGTTTCCATATATATATATATATATATATATATATATATATTTGGCTCACACCCGGCAATATACAGGGATTACTCCTGGCTCATGCACTCAGGAATTACTCCTGGTGGTGCTCAGGGGACCATATGGGATGTTGGGAATCAAACCCAGGTTGTCGCATGCAAGGCAAGCTCCCTACCCGCTGTGCTATCGCTCCTGCCCCAGATCTGTTCTTTAGATCTACAGCTGGCCAGATCTCAGCTGTGTGGCCAGACTGGAGAAGCCAAGTATTTTTTCCAAATGGAGTCTCCTCATCTCCTTCACTGGCCCAAGTTTGCTTTTTTTTGGTGCAACTGGAAACCATGGACCCCCAAAATTCTGAACTATATTTTTGACATTACTTCACAGGGGAGACCTGGGGTGTTTATTTGTGAGCTACACCAGCAGTGCTCAGGGCTTACTCCAGGCTCTGCACACAGGAATCACTCCCGACATTGCTCTGGGGACCATATGTAGTACCGGGGATTAAACTCCTGTTGTCTGCATGCAAGCAGGTGCCTTATATCTGCTGTCTCGCCAGCTTTGAAACCTCAGTTTTTAAAGAAATACTTGTTGTTATTGTTGCAATTTTTATTGGAGAAAGTGGTGTCACTAGTACTTGAGGGGTACCAGGACATTTCTGGCAGTCCTCGGGGAGGGGGCATGCAGCATCAGGGTCTGAACCCAAGGCCTTAACCACACAAAGCCTGTGCTCGTCCACTTGAGTCACATCCTGGCTTAAAGGAGTAAAATTGTTTCTTTTACAAATTAAAATCACCATAGTAACATGGCACCATTCGTCGGGTCTCACACATATACTCACACAGACCTCTCCTTTTATAAATAGAGAAAGTGAGGTACTTATCCATTGAAAGACTTGATATGTCGGACCAGGCCTGACCTCCCGTCAACTTTGTTCCACATTCCGCCAGCATTCCTGAGAACAGACCGGCCTGAGCTGGCATTGGGTGCCAGGAGAATCCTGGGCTGAGTCCTCCTCGCACACAGTTCCTTTCCTCTCATGCCATCCTCCCCACCCAGTGTTTCTGTGAGAAGCGGGCAGTAGCAGGAGGGCTGAGTCCGGAGGGAGAAGGAGGATGTCCACCTGACTGTGTCCTGGGCCAGGCTCAGTGACTAAGCAGCCCCTGCCGGAGGGATACTGTAGCATAAGCTGATTTTAAAAGCACACAGATGGACCAGGATGCTATTTAAAACACCATTTGTAGGAAATCTGCTTTTGGAAATACCTTAGCACTGCACAATTTGATAGAAAGCTGTTCTCCCTGGCTTTATCCCGGGTACTCACTGCAAGGAAGATATTCCTGAGAACTGAATTCTGCTGTCAGCCTTCCCAACTTTTTCACATTAGCTACGTCATTCTCTCTCTTTGTCTTCTCTCTCTCTCTCTCTCTTTCTCTCTGACCATCCCTTCTGGTGTTTCATGAAATTTCCTCTCCCTTTCTAGTAGCCAGAAGGTAATTTGGATTTAGTTTTGTTGGCGATGAAGTCTTTTGGTTTGGTTTGGTTGTTCATTGTTTTCAATGAATTATTCCTGCCCGCAGAAAGGGCTCTGGGGCCAAGGGAAAAACCCTTTCTCTCCCCATTAGAAATCCATCTTTCTAGTTAGAAGGAGGGAGGAGATGGGGAGAAGGGAAACTTGTCAATGAGCCATCTCTTGATTTCGTGCTTCCCCCTGCCCCCCCACATACCTGATTCCCTTGAACCACCATGGGTGTGACAGGCAGTGGGGGTCCTGCCCCATCCCATGCTCCTCTCTCAGGCCATCTTGGCCGCTGGTCCATTAGCAGCGCTTGCTCCCAGATGTTGTCTGCATTTAAAGTACAGATTCCACACGGCTCACCATGCATCAGCGCAGCCCTCTGGATGGTCGGGGTTGAAATAGTTGAGTGAACCGTGCCAAATAGATTTGTCAAGTGTGCTGCAGCATGATTTGATGCCATGAAGGGGAGACGGGGCGAAGAGGGGACTTGAGGGCAGCAGGGAGAGCAGAATGGAGAGGAGGGGGGGAGAGAGAGACAGAGACAGAGAGAGAGAGAGAGAGAGAGAGAGAGAGAGAGAGAGAGAGAGAGAGAGAGAAGCTTCTTCTCTGCCACTGTGATCACTGAGTTTCTCTTTGTCACTGCTGGAGGGTGGGCACTGTGCCAAGCAAACTGGTGCTAAGTGGTGGGCTTGAAAGCAGAAGTCAGACAGCAGGACCCATGAGCAAAGCAAAGCTAGGCAGGGACAGAGGCGGAAGTTGCACCCTGCTCTTTGGTGCAGGGCCAGGAAGGGGGACCTGACAGAGTCCCCCACCCTCACCCCCCACCCCCAGTGATTTCAGTTCCCAGGCCACTGTCAACACCCAAGCAGTGACCAGAGACCAGGGACTTGGGGAGATGGGAGAAAAATAAGATTAATGAGTGCTCAGGATGGTGGGGTCTTGCCTGGGCTATTTCCTTCCAAAACATTACTTACAACTTATACCCAGGCTGGGGGTCCAAATTGGGGAAATCTGGGAAAGTTACTTTCCAGTCATCCCCCTCCCCAACCAGCGAGCAGTCTTCCCCCCCACCCCCCACCCCATCCCTGTCTCCTTCCCTCCTGCAGGTTATAGTGAAATTGCCTGGGAGGAAGGTGATGTCACCGTTGCCAGGGAGGGCCAGCCTCCTCTCATGCATGCCACGTGGACAGCACATCCCCAAATCTTTATCCAATTTCCCATACCACAAATAGGGGACTTTGGATTTTCCTATAGGGCGGGCCCTCCTTATGCATATTTATGGCCTAACCACAAAGCATAGACTCTGCTCATCTGCCTAATGGAGCCCCTAGCCAGCCCGGGTGCTCCCTGAGATTACACAAATTGCCTCACATATATTTCTTCAGAAACCACAAGCAGAAACTACTGCTTTTGGTTTCACCCGCTGCATTAATAACACCCCAGACAGTGACGTGGGGTTGTAAATACAGCAGCCGAACTTTCATGGGTGTGTGTAATTATAGAGGCAATTACGCAAACCCCCAACTAAGGGAGGCGCGGAGAGAAAGTTGGGAAGAACTGGAAGGCAGGAGCTTTGGGCCCACGTCCCGCTCACCCCTGGGCCGCTTTTTCTCGGAATCTTCCCTGGAGAAAATGAGATGGTGACTGGGATCAGGGCTGGCGGGACTGAGGCCGTTGCCCTGAGATGCCCAGACAAAACCCTTGTCTCCACTTTTTATTTAATGCTCGTGGGCCTCTCCTCTGTTGACATAACTCTGAATACCTCTGCTTTCCGTGCTAGACTTTCCTGATGGCCTTTGGAACAAGTTGGCACCAAAAGAGTCTGTAGGGTTGCTAACTTGGTGACCAGATTGAGGATGAAAGAATGAGGACAGAGGTGAGGTCCAGTGGATCTGTAGAATCCCACCATAGAAAAAGAGCAAAAAGGCACAAAGCTCACCGTAATGTTTGATAATCTCCTTGGGGTCTTCAGAGAAACCTTAGGCTCTGGCTTCTTCAGTTCGGAACTGACTGTTTCCAGACAGTGGAGAAGAAACTTTCAAACTCTTTAGTAAATTTGCCCCAGAGATACCAGGATAGTCCTGGATCACCTCACTTAGATTTCTGGTTCATCAATCTGTTCCCCTCTCCCTCCTTCTCCCCTTGCTTACCTTATGTATCCAGGAGGAAATTAGTTTGCTGGAAGTTCTGTCTAGCTCAAGAGGGTTGTGTTTTCCTGGAGAACTTCCATTCCTGCAGTTTCTTATGCGGCCTCATTTTGAGCACTGGACTTGTCCCTTTGTAGTTTGAGCCTCAGCCTAGAATCCCGAGGACAGAGTTGAAAGCTGTTGCCACTTGTTTGACTTGGAAGCATTCCTTCCTAACAAACAAACACCCCACTTCAAAACCCCGCTATCCCAGATTCATTTTCTAAATGGAAGCACAGCGTTTCAAAAGCCACGAGAACTTCAAAGCTGCTGTGACACTCTCAGCAACTAAGGCGGAGGAGAGTGGAATCAGGAGCCGGACTCACTCCATGTGCATCTTCTCAGGTCTTCTGAGTCGTTGCCCTGTGTGACCTCGGACA